TTAAAAGAGTTTCAAATTTTCATTGTAATATTTAAATATTTTGTTGCATATTTTTTCCACTTTGTTTTATGTATACACTTTCATTAGTAAAAAATTCATTTAAAAATACATATTTTTTTTTAGCAGTATTTTCAACAACAAACGCACCCTACTAAGAGGTGCTAAAAAGAAAAGAAAATCGCGATACAGTGATCAGAAGGACTACTGAAAAAACAAATATTTCTTACTCAAAACAATAACCAAAAGCTACTGTACAATTATTTATTCGACATGAACCCGAGCAACAAACCGTATCTCGTTTCGCAACGCTAATTCACTAATACTAATTATGAAATAGGGAATTTTTAAAATTTTAAAAATCAAACGCGAAGAGTGCTTCGTCACATTTAAAACTCCCGAAAGTAAGTACGCAACGCTATTATATTATCTATGCACTCATCTTTAGAAATACGCAACACTAATTGCGACGCGTCCAGTGCAATCATGCTGGAGATTGCTAATGAATGACCACCTCTGTACAGCTCTTGTAGCTGCACTAAGTGATCCAGGAACAGGAACAGCCTTCCACGAATCCAGTGGAAGAATTTGGGCATTTTTTGAACGCAACACTACTTCAAGAAACGCGATTACTCATTGTCGCAGCACTAAGAGGGAAAATAATTGTAAATCGCGATAGAAAACCAAATTCAACTAAAAGAAAATTATCATCAAAAGTACAAAAGCTACTTCAAATATTGTGAAATTAATTAAAAGCAGTGGCTCTATTACAAGTGACAAATTTCACTATGTAAAACTTTAGGACCAGATTCAAAGATTCACAATTCACGTCGTAACAATTCGCAACTCTAAAGCAAACATATCGACTCTAATTCAAACCGTAATAAATTTCTCGCAACACTACCGAGAAAAACCGCGACGATGCCCAAAAAACGATAACGAACGATGATGGAGAAGAAGAAAAAAAAAAATACTGAAACTACAAATACTAAAAGAGCATAGTGACAAAGTAGTAACATAGAGAATGACTTCCCATGCTCTGGGATCATTTCAATGATGCAGAGGATGAGAAGCCATTTGTTGTGACCCTCTTCGTGGCAGTTTGCCGGGC